TCTCATTCCAGAGTAAAGCATTCATTGAATTAACAATTACAGTTGACTCTTGAAATAACACAGGTTAGAACGGCGTGGGTCCATTAATACGTGAATTAAAACACACACACACACACACACACACACACACACACACACACAGTTGAAAACAATATTTTAACCTGTAGTTGAAAATCCAAGGTTGCAGAGGGCTGGCTGTACGCATTGTTTTATGCCATTTTACATAAGGGACTTGAGGATGCAAGGATTTTCTTTCTTTCTTTCTTTCTTTCTTTCTTTCTTTCTTTCTTTCTTTCTTTCTTTCTTTCTTTCTTTTAGAGCAGGAAGGAGAGAGGAAGGAAGAGAGAGAAAAACATCGATGTGAGAGAAACACATCGACTGGTTGTCACCCACCCAGGGCCGGGGACAAACTGCAACCAAAGTACGTGCACTTAAGGGGAACTGAACCCGGGACTCTGGTCCACAGGCTGACGCTCTAACCACTGAGCAAAACCCGTCAGGGCGGATCCAAGGATTTTGGTATCTGTGGGTACAACTGTAGTTAAGTTTTGGGGGAGTCCAAAAGCAGATTATTCCCTGTGCAGATCAGGGGTTGGAACCCACAGCTCTGTGCTCATTGCCACCATGGAGTACATACACCAGGGCCTGGGAAGAGCTGGTTGCAGACAGGCTCCCAAGAAGTCCTGTCAGGACTGTTTCTAATGCCACACACCAAAGAAAGAGGTCACTCTAGTGACTGCTGAGGCTGCTTGGCTGGCAGAAATGGAAGGAAAAAGGAAGCAGCTGGCCAGATGTTCCTTCCTATCTGACCACAGGGCTGGAAGCTTCTGGCTGACCAACAGGAGAGAAGCAAGCCCACGAGGAGGGTGCAGTGGTCACCCACAGGCCCCTCTATGCCCTGAGTTCTGACTCCAGGTAAGCCAGCTCACACTGCAGGGGACCCTCCTGAAATTCTCGCAGGGCCTTCACCTGCCACTACCATCACTTCCGAAGCTGCCTTCCCTGGGTAGGACAGTCGTGGGCCCACCAGCGTTTCATCGGGGAATAAACCCCAGCACCCAATACAGTCATTTGGGTTAAGGAGCACTGTGTGAATCATTTCCAACAGCCAGGTAGGCCCCCAGAGTGGCCTGGGGACTTTGTGAGGGTCACCCAGTCTCTGAGCAGAAACAATGACAGGGGTAGACAACTGGAGACAGAGGACAGCTTCTGCCTCTAGAGTCATCCACACTTTACACACAAGGAGGTAAGCTGAAAACCCAGCTCCCACCTGCACTTCCACAAAACCAGGGAAAGGGCACATCGCACGGGGGTGGCAGCTCCCAGCCCCTGGGCTGGGAACAGGGGCGAGGTCTCTGCCCTCCTCCCCAGCACATCCTTCCCAGTCTCCTGGTTCAGGGCAACAAGTCAGGCCCCGTGTGACCCAGAATTTGACTTCTGAAATCCCAAAAGCTTCAGGTAACATCAATTACCATGATAAAACCTATCCATACAAGGGGTGGAGGGGCAGGGGCACAGTCCTTCCCGGCTCCTCCATCCAGAAAACCAACAGCCCACCTCAAATCAAGGACGAGGTCTCAGATCTTCGCCCCCCACACACCTCTTCCTCAAGCGCCACAACATCCACACCACGGACCCACGCTCGGGCACACCTGCCCTGACCACACAGGCGTGCACACTGGTGCAGCCGGCCCCTCACACTTGCACAACTGTCCCCCACGCATTCCTGCCCGCGCGCACACACCTGCCGGCTCACGAGCCAGGCGCCCCCACCAGTCCCCGCCCTCCGGGCCCCCCTTCCGTGCGCTCTCGGTCGCGCCCCACAGCCCTGCAGCCCGCCGCCCTCCGCACTCACCTGCGGGGCGCCCGCCAGCCTCCGCCGTCCGCCGGCCCTGCGGCCTGGGGCCCGCACCGCCCGCTGCCCGCTCCCAGCCGCGGCTCCTGGGCTGGTCCGGCCGCGCCGCTGCTTCCCGTCACGTGGGGCGGCCGCCCTGCGCGGGGGGCGGGAGCCCGTGTGTCCCTGCGCCGTCCGCCCCTGGGTTGTTAGGAGTCCCGCTCCGGGTCCAGCGGCCAAGGGGGCGCTCCTCCTGGCCTGTTTCCTCCTGTCTACGGGTGCATAAGGGCGCCGGCCTGGTGGGACGGCCGCGGGGACGCGGGCGGTGAGTGAGTGAATTCCTGTACAGCACCGAGAACACCGTCTGGCACAGGGTAGGTGCTAGTGGGGTGTCAGTGAGGGCTGTTCTCCTCTTCCCCACCGGCAACGTACAGCTCCATGAAAACACTGGCCTTGTCGGGTTTGCTCACCACTCTTAAATTTTTAACACCCAAACAGGCTACACATAGTGTGGGCACCCGGGAAACAGTGGCCGAATGAATGAATCGACCTGCCAGCCAGCCAATCCTGGGGAAAACGTAGCCACTCCGCCACCTGACCGACCGATCGGCCTGAGGTGCGGCCTTGCGGGTGCGGCTCCCTGCACCACTGAAACGGAAACGTGCTGATGAGCAGCTCATCAGGGACTCGGCGGGGCCTGAATCCACACGTGCGGTGCAGGGCTGTCCATAACTAGTCGCAGAGGCGATACTTGACTGCCTGACACTGGGCTATGGGCCTTTAAGCCTCCCCATGCCCTTATGAAGTCAGCGCTATTAATCTCCCCATTTTACAGATGAGTTGGCTGAGGCAAAAAAAAGTGAATGACTTATCCTAAGCTCTCCTGTTAAAAGTACACATCTAGTTTGGATATTGGTTTAGAATATGAGGTTAAGCAAAAAAGGGTTACATTTATGATTTTTAAAAATATTTTTATTAATTTGTAAAGAGAGGAAGAAAGAGAAACATCCATGGGCCGCCTCCTGCATGTCCCCCACTGGGGATTGAGCCCACAACCAGGGCATGTGTCCTGACCAGGAATCAAACCAGCAACCTTTCCTTGCACCGAACACCCAACTGAGCCACACAGGCCAGGGCTATGATTTTTTTTTTTAAAGCAAACATGCTTTAAGAGCTTTTACATGTATTAGCTAATGTAATAGTATATACACATATTCATATATAATCTAGAGTCAGTAAAGTAAACTTTTTGAACTGTTATCCAATCAACTATTTCTTGAGCAGCTCCTATGTTCCAGGTACTATGGCAGAGGCTGCTGGGAATGCTGAAATAAGAACACAGCCCCTGCCCTCAAGCAGCTTAATTTAGTTCAGTGGTTTATAAAGTATGATCCGTAATCAGCAGTACCAACATCACCTTGGAAGCTGTTATAAATGCAAATTCCCACGCCCGTGTCCAAACCTCCTAAGTTAGAAACGCAGGTGACAAGCTCTCCAAGTGACTCTAATGCTCACTGTGTTTTGAGAACCACTGATTTAGTGGTATATGTGGAAGAAATACCCTCCTAACCATATCCTAAGGTAAAATATAATATGCTGTAGAGGTTTGGTGACAGAGGAGAAGTCAGTTAGGAAGTGCCTGAGGATCTGGAAAGGTTTACTGATAGCCACTCATGACATACTGTTCTTATACTGTGTACAGCACTGTGCTAGGTGCTGAGAACAGAGATGTAAGAGACAGTGAAGGAGCTCATTAAACAGGTGTCCTGAGAAGGGTTATACAAGAAAGCCAATAGATAGTTTTAGTATGTAAATGCATCTTTATGGTGATTGGATTGTAAAAGGAATGAGAAATGACAATAATAAAAAATATAATCATTAGTTATCATTATGATACTAAAAGTAGTTATTTAAAACTCAAAGCAGAACTGTTGTTTTAAATAGCTAAAAACACAGGTCCAAAATGTAAAGTGCTTTTTAAATTTTTACATTTACTTTGAAGCTCTTTGATTTATGCTCAGATATATTTTTAACAACTAATGATAAAATATTTGTAACATAAATCTCTTAAATATTAACTATGGACAAGAAGAATCAACACCCAAAGTTCTCAGTACATATTTCATTTATGATCTATTCAGTACACATTTATTGAGTAACTACTAAGTATAAACATTCCCTGTGCAAGCCGGTGACCAGGTTGGAGATGGGACTCATAACCTGGTGAGGTGATGGTGCCAGGCAAGGCAGTGTCAGTTGGTTTCCCCTCAGCTTTGTTCTGTCAACTATAGGCACCAAAAAAATGTTGGTGAATAGAACCCTATGATCTTTGAGTGAAGGGAAAACTCTCACAATACTGAACTGAAAAATGTATGGTTACTATGTAATACTCACACAATACTGTAGCAGGAGTCAACTTCAGTCTACAAATTCAAATGTGCAACAATTTTTTTTTCCTGTAACTGAGCTTTATTTCTTTTTTGAGCTCCCACTTGAATGCAGTAACAATAATCTTATCAACAGAGGGCCTACCCCCTTCCTTAGGGCTGTGTCCAGATTAGGGAATTTCTAAAGTGCCAAGATGAGAAGTGGGAGACACCAGATCTTTGCATCACTGGTTCCCACAAGGATTCTAGGATGTTCCCTGCCCACTCTGGTGTTGGTTTTCAGACTGGCCCCACCAATCATGGCAATGGCCTGGCATGAGGGTCAAGGACATCTGTGGCTTCCTTGCCCTGCCATGTGGCAGAAATCTCTGTGAGGTGGCCCTGCTGCCTGGACATATTTGAAACATCAACCCCAACTTGTTAGAAATGAAAATTTACCCTCACCCCAAATTCCTACCTCAGTAACACTGATTAAAACATAGTCAGCAGACTGCAAATACCCTGAGGCTCTACCCTTAAAGGCTCTACCCTAGGATGGAGTGGGGGCAGGCATTCCCAGTCTCTCCCTCCCTTGGAGGTGGGTGGGGTATTTGAATCTCATTTTACTTCCTCCTCTGTTAATCTTGACTTTTTCCCTGACTCACAGGACACTCCCTTTGCCCTCAGATTTTAGCTTCAGACACCTAGAATTATCTTAGTGGATGTAGCTTTAAGCAGGGAAGTACGTTCATTTTTAAACTGGGACATACTGAGAGAAAAAAAAAAAGGACAGATCTTACCTGCCACAACATTTTTGTTGATGAAGAGCTTGAGGTTTCAGGTGACTGGTCCAGAAAACCACAGGGAGAAGGACCACAGCAAGGACCTGTAGCCATTTTCAGACTCTTAAGCTCAAGTTTTTTTTTCCCAGCTCCACCACCATCCTGACACTTCTCTCCTTTGACGACAGTCAACAAGCTGCAACAAATCTCCAGACAGAGGCAACAGTGGAGGCGTTCATACTTTAGCTCCAATCTCCTAACATTATGAGGTGGTGTTATAATTTCCATTTCACAGGTGAGGAAGCTAAAGTGGGGAGACGAAGTATTTCTCAAAACCAGCTACCAGTTATTAAACACCTACTCTGTGTAAAGTGTGTGTGTGGTTTTTTTTTTTTTTTAAACTGTTTTGAGAGAGAAACCATTTGTTCCACTTATTTATGCATTCATTGGTTGCTTCTTGTATGTGCCCTGACTAGGGATTGAACCCACAACCTTGGCGTATCCACACGATGCTCTAACCAACTGACCTACCTGGCCAAGGTTCAAGTGCGTTACATAATCTCTACTCCTTTGATAATTCTTCACATAAAGTGTTAGTAGAGCAGTTTTCTGATAAGACTGAGGATGAGAGATTTGAGTGACTCATCCAAGGTCTTGGTGCAGCATAACAAAATCTGAACTGAGGTCTGGCTTCCAAGGCTCCTTCCAAGGCAGCTGCTTCTGTCATTAAAACAATGTATGTGCCTTTTGGTTATGGAAATGGGATAATACCAGTCACACTAATTTCACTATTGTCGTGAAAATCAAATCAGGTTTTGGATATGGAATCCAAATGGATTTTTGGATATGCCATGATGCTAATACCATTAAGTTACTACACATAGCTTCAAATTAGGACATCCAAACACCTGCCTCTGCTCTCACGTCATTTAATCTCCCTCAGATCCACTTCCTCAGCACTAAGATGAAAGAACTGCACTGAGTAACTTTCAAGTTTCTGCCTGCTCTGAAATTTAATTTCTAAATAATATACACATAAGTGATTATGAAAGATTGCAAAACATCTCTCAACTTTACCTAGTCTTTTTGATTTATGATCTCACTTATTTTCCAACTCTTTCAAGGTTTATTTTTTGGCATCCTCTGATCTTCACATTTTTGTAGACACTGCAATAACTTGAGCAAATTACCCCATGCCTGTTTCCTCTCTCTCTCTCTCTCTCAAAAAAAAAAAAAAGGCATTCTAGTACTATGTATCTCACAGGGCTGTTCCGAGGAATGAGGCAGTCTGCACAAAACGCAGGACCTGGCACATGGTAAATGTCTAACAAACGTTTGGACGTTGTCACCGGCGTTCTGTCGGTTATTTTCTTAGGAGAGCAGGTGAGCTTCGAGTATTATTTCAGGGAGCAAACACCTGCGTACCTATATGCACTAGGCATTGGGAGGTAAAGGCCCTGGCCTTGCAGAAATCAAAGCGGGAGTAGGAAACAAACGATGGCCAAGTTAAAAAGAAAACGCAGCCAGTTTCAGACGCGACAAAGCGCCATCTTTAGGTCGACGTCCATCTGCCTTCCCGGCCTCCTTCCCGCGCGGCTGCCCGGGAATCCCTCCGGCCTCTGCCGCTGGACGTCACGGGAGGCGCGACCAATCGCGGCCAGCCCGTGAACTTCGCTTTTCCTCGCTTCCTGCCAGACGCGAAATGCCACCCACTGCTCGGCAGACAGCACTTTCACTTCTTCCGCCGGGAGAGGACTCCCCGGCGAGAGCCTTCCCAGCCCCGCCAGCCGCGCGGCGAGAGGCGGACGAGCGGCGCACCCAGAGTGACGACACTCTCGCGGCCAACGTCACTTCCGGGACGCTTCCTTCGCGGAGCCTTGTGGGTAGCTGGCCGGGGTCTCCTGGCGACGATGGCTGGGGATGTGGCCGGCCGCAGCTGCACGGACTCGGAGCTGCTGCTGCACCCGGAGCTGCTGTCGCAGGAGTTCCTTCTCCTCACGCTGGAGCAGGTCGGGCGCCGGGCGGGCGGGCCTGGTGGAGGAGGCGCTCGGACCGAGCCCGCCCCAAGTATTCTCCCGCGGCGGACACACCCGCCGCCGTCGCCTCTCCCGCCGGTTCGTGCGGCACTTCGCACCGACCGTCCTGGTCTCCCCACGCCCCCGTCCGGAAATGGGACGTCCTTAGCCTACCAGGAATTCCTGGGAGTTAGGGCTTTTCTTTTCGGGTCCTGGATGGCTGGCCTAGAGGAGTCCTGGGCGACCCCCGCGGCCTGTATGGAAGCAGGAAGAGAGGGACGGGGAGGAATCGCAGAAGGGAGGTCACCAGGGACTGTGAGGGCTGGAGAGCATCGGAGAAATCGCTCGTGCTCCACACTCACCCCGATTAAAGACGGGGTGACTGAGTCCCAGAGAGGCGAACTGCCTTATGTAAGGTCACAGCATAGATCAATGCGGGAAAGGATGCAGCCAGGAGGAGAATTCGGGGTTCTAGGCTCTCAGTGTAGCCTTTGCTCTTTTTCAACTAATGTGGCCTCTGATAGTAGACGAAAAGGAAGAGGACAAAAAGTGATACATTTTGTTTAAAGTTAAAATAATTAGAGAATTATTGAACGTTTCCTTGGGGTCTTATGTAGCATATTTTGTTTTTCTTGTGTTTTCTGGACCTTTCGTACTGTACTGTATCTTTGTCTAATTTCATCAAGCCTCGCTGCTAGGACGATTATTTTAGTGATATCAGTTACCTTTCACCTGTGTTTCTCAAACTTCTTAGATAAGTCAGAGTCACCCCAGGGCTTGTTAAAACACATGTATTGCTGGCTTCATCCCCAGAGTGTCCGATTCTGTAGTTCTGGGGTGTGGCCTGAAAAATCTGCATTTTTAACAACTTGCTGCTAGTTCGGGGATCACAGTTTGAGTGGCCCCGCTCTTGAGCAGTGCTTCCCAAGCTAACTTGCCAGTGAACTCTCTGGGAATGTTGTCTTAGAGAACCCCCAGGGTTTCCATATATCTCTGAAGGAGTACAGGGTGAAAATTGGTAATAAAGGATTATCTAGTATAAGAGAGAAAAGGAGTAAAATTTGTGCTTTTAAGTCTTGAAGGGGGAAATAGGGAGATTGGAGGAAGTTTAACAGATGACATAGATTGGATTTATTTTGTCACTCCTACTAAATACAAATGTTTCCAGGCCTTTTGGAATTGCAATTGAGCCCATGATCTCATTTCCACCCTTATCTTCCTTCATTGTTAGTTTTCTTTTGGTTGGTTTCCCCAGGCAGTCACCCATTTTTATTCCCTTCATACATTAAGATGATGCTAATGGACGTGCTCTATTGCCTGGGGTTTTGGCTGATCTCTATGGACAGCAGTCCTTGTCACACTGAGAACATATGGCCACTGCCTTTAAGATGAGGCTGAACCTAATATTTAGAGTTTAACCTAGTTATACTGTTTTTTGTTTTTCAGTATTATAAAGGACCCATAAGCATGTGTCTAGTTGTCATAATGATTTTATAATTTCTTATTTAAGCAGCACTGTTTTGCCGTTAGGTAGGTAGGTGGTTAGATGTTGATAGAAGGATGTTGTTTTATTACTTTTGTTTCCTTTTCCACAGAAGAACATAGCTGTTGAAAATGACATAAGCATAAACAAAGACAACCTCACTGATCTCTATGTTAAGCACGCAATACCATTGCCTCGGAGAGATTTGCCTAAGAACAGGTGGGGGAAAATGATGGAAAAGAAGAGAGAACAATATGAGCCAAAAAATGAGACTAAAAGGTACTTTCAGTGGTTCTAGTTTTCATCTTATATGACCAAACAATTTTACTTTTCTTTTTTCCCCAGGTAAACTTAAAATGTTTTCATTTCCTTAACAACTATTTGTTGAGCACCAGGCACTATACATATACCATTAATAAAAGTGACAAAATTCCCTGCTCATATTTTAATAGGAAGAAACATAATAAAAAAGTTAAGTAAGCCCTGGCCAGTTTGGCTCAGCGGTTAGAGCGTCGGCCCGTGGACCAGAGAGTCCCGAGTTCGATTCCCACTAGGACATGTACCTTGGTTGCAGTTTGTCCCCAGCCCCAGTTGAGGTTGTGTGGGTGGCAGCCAGTCGAAGTGTCTCTCTCACATCGATGTTTCTCTGTCTCTCTTCCCCCCCCTCTCTCCCTCCCGCTCTATCTGAAGATAAATGCAAAATCCTCGGGTGAGGATAAAAAAAAAGTTAAGTAAAATGTACGGTATGTTACATGGTGACAGATGGAAAGGAGGAAAGAAAGCAGTGAGAGGGATTACAGTTTTAATTCGAGTGGCCAGGACAGCCTTACTGAGAAATGCCATTTCAGTAAGGAGACCTAGAAAGTAGAGAGCAAGGTATCCTTGTGAGGACTTTGGCTTTACTCTTGAGATGAGAAGGCACTGGAGGATTTTGAGCAAAGTGATGACACCATCTGATTTACATCAGGTCATGCTGTACTGAGAAGTGATTTAAGGTGGAGGAGGGAACAGGGAAACCAGTTAGGAGACTGCAGTAATCCAGGCAGTAGCTGGTGGTGACTTCAACTGAGGTAGTGGGCTTGATAAGAAATGGTTGGGGTTTGAATGTATTTTAGAGGTAGAGCCAACAACATGTACTGAATTGTGAGAAAAATGGAGTCGAGACTCTAAGGTCTTTGAATAATATAGAAATGAAGAGATTCATATAGATTTAGGGATACTATTTAAAATTTTTAAATTTCAGAAAATTGTTTATAGAACCACAAGTAAATGAATTTCCCTTTGAAAGTTACATGTGGCCCTGGCCAGTTTGGCTCAGCAGTTAGAGCGTCGGCCTGCGGTCCAGAGAGACCCGAGTTCGGTTCCCGCTAAGGGCATGTACGTCGGTTGCAGTTTGTCCCCGGCCCTGGTTGGTCGTATGGGTGGCAGCCACTCGATGTGTCCCTTTCACATCGATGTTTCTCTCTCTCTCTCTTCCTCTCTCTCCCTCCCACTCTATCTGAATAAAAAATGCAGAAATGTCCTCAGGTGAGGATAAAAAAAAAAAAAAATGAAAGTTACATGTGATTATTCAGCGTAGTTGGTTAGTTAATGAGGACAAAGTATCCAAAGGTCCCTAAGTGGGCTAGTTATTTCTTTTCCCATCTCTTTTATCATTAGTTGTTACTAATTACTGAATTTCCTTTTAGAGCCTTCTGTTTGTACAGAAGCAATGAGCAACGTAGAAGTGACAGTGAGAGAAGACGGAGTGGGCAGGGGTGAGGGGGAATGCTAATTCTAAGTTGATTTGTGTGTGTGTGTGTTTTTAATCCTCACCTGAGGATATTTTTCCATTTATCGTTAGATACAGTGGGAGGGAGGGAGGGGGAGAGAGAGAAACATTCATGTGAGAAAGACACATTGACTGGTTGCCTCCTGTAGGAACCTGACCAGGGCTGGGGACCAAACTGCAACTGAGGTATGTGCCCTTGACCGGAATTGAACCCTCAACTCTTTGGTCCATGGGGTGATGCTTTAACCGTTGAGCCAAACCAGCCAGGAAACCGCAGCTGAGGTATGTGCCCTTGACCGGAATTGAACCCTCAACTCTTTGGTCCATGGGGTGATGCTCTAACTGCTGAGCCAAACTGGCCAGGGCTGATTTGTGGTTTTAATCTTTAGTTATGAATAATGAAGAACGACTTCTAACTGGTAGGGAGATTATTCTCCAAGAATAGTTGAAGAATGCGGCACGTGTGCTCAGAGTTTTTTGGAAGGTAAATAAATATACAGCCTCACTTTTGATCAAGAACACATTCGGTTCAGATTGAGCATTATTTTAGCTACATGGTTGCATGTTGGTACAGGCTGTGTTTTAGTGTTAACTTTTATAACTATGGATTATGCTGTGCATAACTTTAATTTACTTCTGTTGATTCTTACTACGAAAGTATTTTCTTTTTTTTTAAATCCTCACCTGAGCATAACTTTTCCATTTATCTTCAGATACAGTGGAAGGGAGGAAAAGAGGGAGGGGGATGTGAGAGAGACACATTGTTTGGCTGCCTCTTGCATGACCCCAACCAGGCCCGGGGACTGAACTGTAATCGAGGTCCATTCCCTTGACCGGAATCGAACCCTCGTCTCTTTAGTCCTTGGGCTGACACTCTAACCACTGAACTAAACCAGCTGGGGCAGTATTTTCTTCTTTATCTGCACATTTACGCACTTTATCCTAAGCAAAGCTTTCAGTCCTGTTATACTTCTTATGACAGTCCATTTTAGTCCCTCAGTGTCATTTTGGAAAGGATCTTTGGCTCTGTTTTTTGTTTTTGTTTTTAAATCATAGTTTGACTCTTATATCAGAGCATTGAAGCTGGAAGGATCTAAGAGACCATCAGGTATTATTGAATTACTGATTATTTTTTCTCTGGAGGATCTGAGCTCCAGAGAAGTTTTTGACATACCCGGGTCACACAGACTGGGACCACATCATTGTAGCGCTTCTCAAACTTGAATTTGCCTCAAATCTTAGATTGAACTCTCACAAGCTGGTGCGCCTCCTCTCAGCCCTTCTGCTCCCTCTGCACTGGCCATGGGTGCACCTGAGCTTATTCTCATCTTCTACCAAATGATTGTCAGTGTGGCCCAGGAATGGGTGAGTTTGGCCAGTCACTTGGCGTCTGGTTAAAAAGCAGATTCTGAAGTTTTACAAGCTCCTAAGAAGCTGATACTGCTGATCCCTGGACCACACTTTGAGTAGCAAGGCTGACGTGTTCTTGCTCAAGTCCTCTTAACATACTTAATTAGAAGTTTGTTTTTTTTAATCATAAATCTGTTGTTTGAGGTACAAAGAATAATGAACAAATGGTTTTATCATGGTTAGAGTGGAAATTAGGTTTTCAGAAGCTAAATATGAAGACTTGCTAAATTTTAAAATTAAAATCATACAGATGTTACAGTTATAGTTAGTTTAGAAAATGCCTTGGCCTTAGAGACCTTAATGAATGGAATAGAATGTTCTGTATTGTTGTATATAGATTGCCACTATGGTAGTCTTGATATAGTTTTATAGTTTATTTGTCCTAAATAATTAAACATGGTCAAGATAACTATCAATAAGATGATTTTTTTAAATTAAAAATTTTAGTTACTAGAAAATTCTGTTTTAAATTTTGGGCTTGGTCAATTGATGTTTTAAAAATAATTCTTTAGAGTGTAACAGAAAATTTCATTTCTAGTTGTCCTACGTACAATAGATTCGTCTTTTTAGTAAATTTCTTTGGTCATTATTTGTTTTAACTTTGCATTCTAGTAACTGCTTTGCCATTACAGATGGTATTTTTCACGAATGCATCTCTTTTATTTTAGGAGTAGCACTGTAGATGTGTCAAAGAAAAGACCCCTCATTGTGTTTGATGGAAGTTCAACAAGTACAAGCATAAAAGTGAAAAAGACAGAGAATGGGGATAATGATCAACTCAAGCCTCCCCCTCAGGCAAGCTCTACCAGTAATGCCTTTCGAAAATTCTCAAATTCCTCTTCAAGTGTTTCTCCCCTAATTTTGTCTTCCAATTTGCCTATGAACAATAAAATGGAACACAATAACAATGACACTAAACAGAACCATGACTTCACGCATGGGAAAAGTCCTTTGGGCCCTATGAAGTTGCCGCCTTTGTCCCCTGTGGGAACCACTCCAGTGAAGTTAAAGCGAGCTGCTCCTAAAGAGGAAGCCGAGGCTGTGGTGAGTGTGGGCTCCTGTCCGTGCGCGTGGAGAGGGCGTGAGCTCTGCGCAGTTGGCTGTGGCTGCAGGCTGTTCGCCAGCCCTTCCAGGCGCTGTCTTTACACCTCACTTCTCGTGTTTAAAACCCCGGAATTTTAATCCATGATGATAAACTAACACTTAAAAAAATATATATACTTGGTTTTCTTTTTTTCTGCTTAAAATGTGTAAAGAGTCTCTCAGACGCTTACCCTAGATTTTTCTCGTTTAAGTCTTTTAAGTATCTTGGAACCAAAAAAGAAGACTTTTGTTAATAAGACTCAGCGTGTAATTTGTGCAGGGTCACACATTTCAGTAGCCTTGTAGAGCCTGATCTTTGTTTTGCACTTAAAACCACACTGGAGTCTAGGATTTCCCCCTTGCCTCCCGCCCCTCAGTGTCCTTGTCCTTGGAGGCATGGAGGATGTTTGGGGGAATCTGTGTTGTGTTCTGCTGTACTTTCGCATTTTATGTGCTGGCAGACTTGATACCGTTAACACAGTTTATTTAGAGTTTAATTTATGAGCTTATGTGAACATCCAGCAGTTTCATAGCCTTTATTCCTTCTCTTAGTCCTTTCAGACTGCTATAACAAAAATACCATTGCCTGGATGGCTCAAGCAACAAACAGTTGTTTCTTACAGTCCTGGAGGGTAAGAAGTCCAGAATCAAAGCACTGGCAGATTTGAGGTCTGGTGAGGACCCATTCCTGGTTCATAGTTAGCTGTTTGCCCCTGTGTCCTCACGTGGCACAGGGGGCAGAGGAGTTCTGGAGTCTCTTGTAAGAAGACCAGTCCCATTCATGAGGGCTCCACTCTCACGACTTAATCACCCCAAAGGCCTCACCTCCAAATATTATATTGGGGGTTAGGTTTCAACATAAGATACTTAGGGGACACAGACATTCAGTCTGTAGCACATTCTTGTAGTATATACTTTGGCTTTATTATCTTCAAATTGTATGTCAAAGGGATAAAAACTCAGAGTAGTTCGAACAGTCTAAAACAATAGGCCTTGGAAAAAGACAGCTACTGTGTATTTAACCGGCCCGAAGTTCTTCTATTAGTTTATTGAATCCTTTCAGCAGTTCTGTGACGTAAACACAGTTGTTATTTCCATTTCACAGATGAGAAAACAGAAACTTAGGTAATTTAAATGAACTCGTCCAAGGTTCCAGAGTCAATAAGCAGCCAGATTGCAGTTAGAATTCAGGTCTGCTTGGTCCCAGAAATGCACTTAGGACACCATGCTACCTCCACACAACTCAGTCACTTTGTGGGAAACAGGAGAAGGGAGTCAGAGGGGAATGGGAGGAAGAATCCACCCGCAAATATTACAATAAGGAGAGAGCTTCAAGGATTTTTTTTGGTCCCCAACCCTCCCCCCGCCTCTGGGGCCCTGACTGGCGCTGCTTTTTCTTCAGTTTCTGAGAAAACATTATTCTACTCAGAATTTTTACTCTTTCAGAGGTTGATTTTTAAATTTTCTGTTGCTTATTTATTTTTAATCCTCACCCAAATATATATTTTCTAGAGAGAGGAAGGGAGAGAGAGAAACATCGTTTGGCTGCCTCCCGTATGCAGCCCAACCAGGGATTGAACCCACAACTTAGGTATGTGCCCTGACTGGGCCTGGGACACTCTTTAGTGCATAGGACAGCTCTCCAACCATGCGAGCCAGGCTCAGGCGCGATTTTGTAAAAATCTGTTCTTGTGCTAAGCTCTTGGGCTGTGAGATTGAGGACGCGGGGAGGCTGGGGGAGGACGCCTGGAGACTGGGAGGACGCGGGGAGACTGGGGGAGGGCATGGGCGTGGCAGGGAGGAAACAGCCCCGCAGTCAGCGGTCTGAGTTCTGAGCACACCTCAGGGTCACCTGAAGGAGCTTCCAGAGAATTGGAGGTCAGTGCCTCCTCATCCCTGCCCTCTGGATGCTAATCCAGTGGGATAAGGCCCAGGTCTGGACATGTTGGAAGTGCCCTGGGAGAATCTGAGAGGTAAACATTTGGGACCCACAGCAGAGAAATGGGAGCCCAGGAGGCTGCTCTTTCTCCGGATCTCCTGAAATCTTTCCCCACCAGGTGGCAGCAGTGATCTACCATTTGTGCATCAGTAGTAAACCTTGGTTTGAAATGTGCATTTGTTATTCTCTGACATTTTTGTAAGTATAACTGATTTCTGTTTGTCTTTTTAGAATAATCTGAAGCCCCCAGAAGCAAAGAGGAAGATACAACACGTTACATGGCCATGAAGGAAAGTTTCCAAAAATGTAAATATAACTAGTTTTCAAACAAGTTCACATATATTGACAGTATTTATAGAGATCTTGATTATTTTGAAATTTTCTTAAGAGGTTTAAAATTAGGTTAAAAAAATTAAAGTCTTTTCTTTTCCTCCCTGCCTGCCTGCCTGCCTTTAAAAGAAAAAAAAAAAAAATGCCTTTTTTTTCCTCGATTAGGAAAAGACTTTTTTTTTAAATGTTTTTATTGATTTTTAGATAGAGAGGGAGAGAGGAACATCCATCAGCTGCCTCCTGCACACCCCTTGCTGGGGATCAAGCCTAAAATTGGGACATGTGCTCTGACCAGGAATCGAAGCTCAGCCAACTGTGAGCCACACTGGCCAGGGCGGAAAGAATTTCTTTTCAAACGAGTGGCTTAGTATAAGTCATCTATATTGACCCGAGTCAAATCAGTAAGTTACAAGTCTGGTATAAAGCATGTAATGAATTTTAGGAATTACTCTCATTAGGCTGTTTCAGTCTTTGGAGAACTTTGAGATTGTTTTTTATCTTTTTGACTCAAATATTTTAGAAGTTCACAATTTTTATTTCTTTTCCCAAGCAAAAGAATATAACAGTTCATCACAGTGTTTTAATAAATTCATCCTTGAGGTTCACCAAGAAAAGCATATTTGCAGTGCTGCCAATAAACTACTCAGAATATACAGATAAGTTGCTGTTTTTACATGCTTGCTATTGCTCCTTCCCTTGAAGTTAGAGCAGAATTGACTTCTTATAAGATGACTGGTCACTGTCACCCCAAGTCCACTTGCAGAATGTTCTTGTCATGGAGCAGTCCTACCTACTCTTTTCATGAGCAGTCTGTGATCACACTCTGAGCTCGGGTGTCTCTTCCTCCTAGGAGCTTAATGAGGCTGATTTTAAAATCTTCAGGTGAAGGAATCATGTTAGAGGTGGTACCCGTTGGCAGAAAGTTTAGTGAACAGGAAGAGGGGGTGAAATTGTAGATTTTAAGAGCAGGGAGTGGCAGTGAAGGGGGAAATCCTGTGTGATCTGGGTAGGCCAGGAGAAAGGTACTGGCGTCAGAAGTCAGTACACAGTGACAGCATGGAAGAGCCATCTGGCCGGGTCCTGCTGGTGCAGCACGGGCCCTTTCCACAGGCTGTCAGACAGACACATTTTCTGAGGTTTTGTTTTTGTGTTAACGTGATAATATTCCAACAGTATAATTGAAGTCGGCGAGACAATAGGGTTATATCTTATATTTGTGAGTTCTAGTGTCTACTTTTCTGCTGTGTGTTTCTAACCCAATGCAAGAATGCTTTATACTTTTTTCTTTGTATGATTGATCTTCAAATTGGGGTTTGTCTTTTCAATACTTTTTAGAGCAGTCTCATTCCTCTTTTGATTTGTTAAAACAAGGATTTTAGTTCAGCTATTGAGTAGCCTTACAAAAAGTTATTTCAGCCTTGCAGGCACAGACTGTACTAGAACCCTAACCGCAGTTGCTAGTCACCCTGCCTTCGTCCAGACTGCACATCTGCATGCAGTGGGTTGCGCACGGGTTGCTCAGCTGTCAGTTAGGGTCAGTTGTTAATGTACAGCTCTCTGCAGGGCTGACATATGTAACATTGTTGAAGGACAGATGTATTCCTGTACAAAACTATGTTAAGGGAGATTTTTTAAAGTGCAGATTTTAGGGTAGAATGACAAATTATATTTTATATTCAGTTGTCCCTTTGCTTTCATCTGCATTTCTCTCTTAATTAAGAGAGAATTAGCCATTTGACAGTTTTAAGTCAGTAGAAACTTATTTTTAGTTATTCAAAATTAATTTTTAATTTGTATATTTAACTTACAAAGTAGGTTGGTAATAACAGCTGAACTATGTAACATTGTTGCTTCAAATTGAAGTTTATATTATGACCATTCAGAATCAGTGCTCATAAAGCAGCATATTCTTGAGCTATTCTGAGTTTGAAACGTGGAGGAGCTAAACCGTGTGCTGTGTATTACACATACCAACATCCAGAGCACTGTGCCTTCCCACGGAGCAGAGAGACAGCTGTCTGCAGTCTTTCTCCACGACTGAAGCCTGCTCAATATCGGGAGTCTGAAGTGGAAGTGTTGGGGATCTTATGTTTTGAAGTGTTGCTTTGGTGAGGTTTGTATTTGAGAAGGACTTGATTTGAATGGCTAACAACTTTGGAACCCTCCTTACTCACTAACACGAGTCACTATTGTCGCTCTTGATTCTGTGCTCCATCAAAGCCAGATTTTCTTACTGGGGTAGGAAAGTGAATGGCATTTGAGTCAGTGAGTGGCTTCTGAGGTATAGTTACGGGCACTTTATCACTTTCTGCCATTGATAGGTGGTCTTGTTCTTTCTTCCTGCCCCTCTGTGTTCCCTCTTTTCCTTTTTCTTGTCCTCTGTTCCCATATTTTTTTTTGCCTTCATCTCCCTCCGTTTTATAGGTCCTGAGCTTCAGGGTTAGGTTTGCAAGTCATAGAGCTTGGCCCAGCTCACGCCCTGTGGGGAGGAGCTAGGCTGACCCTGGCCTCTGGCACATGAGGGGTCGTGGACTGCGTGAGTCCTGGAAGTCGTGGCCCCGTAGCACCAGGGCCCAGCGTGGCTTCCCCGGCCGTAAAGCCTGTACAGGTTTCCAAATAGCAGCATCCAGGCACTTTGGAGAGTTGGTTCAACATAACTATGAGGCCGTAATATTTTTGCTAGTATTAAAATTCTTCAGAATTGTAATTATTATTTAAAATAATATTTTGGTTGACTTAAGTTTTCAAAGATGATTCTAAAATTGATCTAGAGACTCATTCAATAGCAGTGACCTTTTAAAAACTTACATTAAGTAAAACTGCTGGTAGATTGAATCACATGTATGTAAGAGCTTCCTCTGTTCACACTATGGGACTTCAGTGATTCTTAGAGGCTACAAAATGGTCAAATGTTTTTAAGTGTGCTCTTTTATTAAATGCTTGTGCAGGTTTTGTAATTCAGTACAGGAGGTTTAACCTTGTAATGTACATTTTTTTGTATGTAAAAAGTCTTTTAAGTAGCCTTATCCTTATTTAAATAAACTGAATAAAATTGTTGAGTGGGTCTGTCATTCATAAAAAAATAAAGTGAAAAATACGCTGTAGTGACTTTATCTCTTTTTATTTGAGTAAACTGTATAGAAAGGTGTCATTTTTTACAGTAAAACGTTCTGTACCTGGACTGATCAGACTCAGGCACGATTCGGAACAGTCGACCCACATCTGGGGCTCCGCTGTGGGGGCGTGTGGCTGGAATGGCTGGTGCGCAGGCCACCCTGGTGCGACGGGCGGTGCCGGTCACTGCACTCGAAGGGAAGGAGACAAGGCCCTGAACCTCATCCCTTGTGAGCTTTCCTAACTGGGATTCATGGAGGGCTTGTGTTTGGGTCGTCTTAACAAATTAATGTCTAAACCGGTATCTTAATGTTGATAGTGAAGCTCTAAACTCGCTTGGAAAAGCCTCTGATTAGCTACCTGGAATTACAATGTAGATCCTTGATTTTTTTTTTTTTTTTTTTTGATCTGGACAGAAGAGACTAGAAAGTCTTATTTCCATTTAGATTTTTACTAAAGTGCTTTTTACTTGTGGATGTGCTCTGCTCTGTCAGCTGTTGCTAGATTTGGTCGTCTTCCCTATGTGGCAGGAAAATAAAGATGTGAATTAAGTTCCTGCTCCTGAAGGGAAGACAGGCAAGTGAACCACAAATAATAGATCATTGTGATGAGAGGAAAAATCAAGGTTAACCATGGAATAGGGCTGGGGAAGGTAGGGTGAGAAATGAGATCTCGTGGCTGGGAAAGGCCTCTGAAAAAAGGTATTTTAAGGGGTGACAGCTATGGGAAGCTCTTAGGGAAAGCTTCATAGAAATGGTAGATTGTGATCGAGCAAAGGCTTCTGCTGTCACTTGTGAACCCCCGCCGCAGCCCTGATGGGAACAGCCTGCTGGGAAAATCCGTCCCAGCTGCCAGGTGGCTCCATGCATGACGTCCCAGGGCAGCCAGTCCAAACGCTGACTCCACAGTCGTCCGTTTTTGACAAGTTGGGTAATTGAAGGTTGGATACGTCTAGTGTATTTGTGGTTTTAATAAGAAACAGGTAAGATGTTCTATAATGAAATTTGGAAAGCTTTTGTTTTTTGGAATTCTATTTTTATTTTCAAACGCACATTTGCAAGAATGCATTTACTTTTATATCATGAAGAAGATGGCACAACAACGAACTAGGGTGGGTTTATTCTGGTGGAGCAAAGCACCCCACTGACCGAATCTGGAAGGCCCACCCCAGACGGTCACGCCCGCAGTGACAGCGCTCAGCCGGGACTACCTCGCCCCTCGCGTGTGCTCGCCGTGTGACTGGGCTCCCGCCAGTCTCCTGTCACTTACCACTCGCCTTAGCTTACTGTTCCTGAAGGAGAAACGCAAGGTCCTAGCCCACAAAGCAGTTCGTGCTCCAGGGTGACTGCAGGCCGGCCCGGCCACGGACTCAGAGCGCTGTGTGCAGCAGGGACCGCCTCTGCTTTCTCTGCCACCCTGAAGGGCCCGGCACACCCCAAGTTCCTCGGGTTGCCGGTACACAGAGGAAGGAGACGTCCCTCCGGCCTCCAGGCGCTGTGTCTGTCCAGCACGTTACAAAGGGAAGGCAGGTCAGCGCAAGAGCCATGACAATGAAGGCTCTGAGCTGTCGGGTGGCCCAGGACGGCCTTCGCTGTCACCAGCTCATCCTCAAGCTCACGGAACTGCTTCAGGTGCAGGGCCTCACATTCCCAGAGGAGGAGTTGGGAGCAGGGAGTGCAGGGATGGCTGCAAGGGGGTCCCGGTGCTGACGGACCAGCTCCCTTCACGCTGCCCCGCCCCCAGAACCCATCGGACAGCCGCCAGCGTGCCACGCGGCCGTGTGCACACAGCCTGACGTTAATCACCACTTCACACACTGGGCCTGGATACCTTTATTGCAAGTCACAGACTCCTGCTGCAGGCCTTACCTGGCAGGGCGTTACAGTCGTGAGCACTGCCCTTCACGGCTTATGTAGTGTGGAAAATGCACGTTCGTGACGTGTTCGTTACACTTAGAAATTAAATACGCAGTGAAAGCAAGGTACACGTGTACATACGCAATAGGACTTTGGCACTTGGGTTTGCTTGGCTTGCTTATGAAAACTCAAACCATCTTCCCACCTAAGGTTTCCATAGGGTCTTCTCCTTCCCTGGGGTTAAACTAGTACAGAGGGGGAAAGGGTTAGACAACGTGAAGATCACTGAGAAGCACAAGAGGAGTCTCATGTGGCCTGGGTGAGAACGAAGAGAAATCTGTGAGGCGAGCAGCGACGTGTGGCCTTCAGATGTCCTTCCCGCAGTCGGGGCACAGGATGTCATCCCTCTCTGTGAGGAAGCCGCGGCCCACCAGCGACAGGGAGCACTTCTTGCAGTTAAAGCAGTCGTTGTGCCACTGCCGCTCCTCGAAGGAGATGTACTTGGTGCCGCCCAGTCCTGTGAGCAGAGAAATGGCACCAGTAAGGCGAGGAAGGGACTGTCAGCCCCAGGCTCCGTGCTGGGACTGAAGCAGTTCTGCTCTGACCCACTTCAAAGTCTGGGTTTCTGGGTGCACGCGAGACTCAGATACTCCGCACGGCCTCGGCGAGCTCAGAAACACCAGAAGAGAGGGCTCTACAGCAGCCAGGTCAGAGGGCGCTACTGGAGTTATGGGCCCTGCTCCCCGCAGGACGAGCCATGAGGCAGCAGTGAGCCCCTTCACCAGGTGCCGCGCCTGCACCCTCTCGTGATTTACTGAAGGGCTAGAAAGGGTTGAAGAGAAAAATATTTTTCTCTGGAATGGCCAGGAAAGATCTCACAAAAGAAAGTGATATGTGGCCTTGTTGGTTGGGCGTCATTCAGTGCACTGAAGGGTCACTGGTTCGATTCCCGGGCAGGGCACATGCCCAGGTTGTGGGCTCGATCCCTGGCGGGGACCTGCAGGAGGCGGCGCATCGATGTTCTCTCTCAGTGGCGATTCTCCCTCTCCCTTCCTCTCTAAAAATCAATAAAAGAAAACAAAATAAATATGTGGGTGTGGGAGGAGGGGATGGACTTCCTTACAGAGGGGCTCTCATGAGAAGACAGAAGCAGGAAGGTAGGTGGGAGGAGAAGAGCTGGACAAGGTCAGGTTTGGGGAGACGGGCGGAAGTCGGGCTGCTGGGCCGAGAGCCGTCCGCAGATGTGGGCTGCACAGGACGGCTCGGACACATTTCAATTTGGGTGCTTGACTCTTGTTTGATGACGAATGCCTATCAAGTATTTAAGGTACATTGGCTGTAGTTTGTGCGGCCTCAAGTTCATGAGGATCTTAAGTTGGGATCAATTCTGATGAAATTTAGATCACGAATTCCAATTACAAAAAGTTCTTTTCAGAAGTAATGGTTCAATCTACCAATTAAAAACAAACTAACCACACGAACTACTCCATCTGGAATAGTTTGAGGTCTCAGCCGAGCACGAGAAGTCTGTAGTTCGTCCAAAGCTGCTTTTGTAACGTAACTGGTGAGGCTGACGTCAGACATGAAACCTTTTTGCAGGGGGAGACCTGAGGCCTAGATGCATCCTCCCTCAGCTAGACAGCGACGGGCTGGGACTGACCGTGTCCCACTGCAAGTCTTGCTTTTTCTTCCTCCGCTCCACCAGCAGTGGCTCTCAGCTCCCTTCTACATATCCTATAGCTTTGTACGAAGAGCCAAGCTACACAACCAGCATGTGACGGGAGTACTGACTGCCTCTCCCCCTACTCAGGCCCTGAAAGACCTGCAGATCGCAGAGCCCACACCCTAGCCCCAAGGCCAAACCAGAGCCGCAGGCAGGCCCTCCGTCTCTGACGCCTGCATACCTGAATCACCTGGAGGCTTTTAAAACTTCCAGGTCACGGCCAATGAAATCATGACCCAGGCAGCAGCAATTTCTAAAGCTCCTGGGGAGCTCTGAGTGTGTGGCCAAGTTTGCAAACCAGTGGTTCAGGCAACACGTGAACTTGGGGCAGGGGCTGCGGGACAGTGGAAGACACGCAGACCTCGTGTGACCGCACTGGGCTGTGCTTCAGACACGTGGTGGGTTTGTTTGTTTGCTTGCCTTTTAAATTTTTTATCCTCACCCGAGGACATTTTTTGATATTTTGTTCAGTAGAGTGGGAGGGGGAGAGAGAGAGAGAGTGAAACATCGACGTGAAAGGGACACATCAAGTGGCTGCCCCTCACATGACCCAACCGGGGCCAGGGACAAACTGCAACCGAGGTACATGCCCTTAGCGGGAACCAATCTCGGGTCTCTCCAGACCACAGGCCAACGCTCTAACCGCTGAGGCAAACCGGCCAGGGCATGGCGTGTTTTTTTTTTTTTATTAATCAAAGGCAAGACCCTTTTCCAGCAAAAAGATTACAACTCACTTATTGTGGCGGTCTAGACTGAACTCGCAATAGCTCCAATGGTGCCTGTACTTGTCCCCACCCCACCCCCTTTTTTTTAGAGGAAGGGAGAAGAGGGGGAGAGAAACATCAATGTGAGAGAGACACATCGACCAGCTGCCTCCCGTAAGCACCCTGACCAGGGACTGGACCCACCACATGGGTATGCGCCCTGGCTGGGAATCACCTTTCGGTGCACCGGAAGGCACCCCGGCCAACTGAGCCACACTGGCCAGGGCTGTGGGACTCCTCTCCCCGGCACTCTGAGTTAACTGGAGAACCAAGGAGCAGCGGGGAAGCTTCTGCCTTTCCGCGCCTGTGCTTTCTCCCTGCTGTTAAGTCCTGCTACGCTGAAGACCTGGGCCGAGGAGGAGCCCTGGCCAGGAGCGGAGGACGAGGCGTCAGTGACAGGAGCCGTGCTGGGCAGCTGCCCCAGCTGACAGCCCACCAGCAGCTCCACTGTTTCCCTGAAATGACAGCAAAGGGGGCAAGTGATAGCCGGCGCCAGGGAATGAACCCTCCTAGGGGCTAGGTGTCGTAAAGTACATTCTCCTTACTGGAGACACTGCTGTTCTATCACCACTGTGAACACTGAATTAGCAGACACCGAACCCCTGCTCCTAAGAGAAATACCGGGTCAGGTTCCCACCAGCCAAACACTTCCATCAGCCATGCGCAGCCTTGGTGTATGCCCTCTCTGTTTAAAGACACCCTATTTAACAGGCATTGCTGGTTCATCAATATTGAACTCAGGGCCAACAGCACCACGACTCAAGCCTGGAGGAAGCTTATCCAACACACAGGGCACCTCCCAACCTGCCTGGATCAGGAACACAGACTTCAGCACTGTTCTTGGGGGCCATCTAAACAGAGAAAATGCTAACAGAACGCACGGAAAATGCAAAAACATGTCACTAAACAGACCATGAGAAGGACCCTTGTTTCCAGTGAGCTGCCACCAGAAGGCAGAGTGTCGCCCGGTTGCACCTTGACTGGGAAACACCCGTGAGACGACCACCTTGCACCACGGCTGTGTGCATCTCCGCACGGCCGCGAGCGCGCCGCGCTCCGGGTCTGCTCCGCAACCGCTGGTGAGCAGGCAACTTTGCAAATGTGAACCCCGGACAGAGGAGTGACCAAAGGCAGCATCTCTGCACAGAGAAGTGGCAAAATGCCATTCGAGTTTATTTACAAAATTCATTTGAATTTTGTTAAAGGAAAAAAGTATGAAGTAAGGATCTATCCGAAATTTAATCTAGACTCACACTTGCACAACTGTCTGGGGATGGAGCTAAAAGTCATTCTCGTTGCAATTTCCAAATTCCTACGTAGGTTCGTGGGCATCAGTCTCTGTGCTTCAGAAAATTCACTCTCCTTGTCTGGAGCCAAGTTTTCATTCTGCTTTCCTTTTCAGTGCTACGTTGACACACATACCTGATACTTTACGTTACAGTGCTTTTATGTAGATTACACTTCTGTATGAAGCTTTATGACATTCACTTCTACAGACGTTACTGCAAAACAGCATTAAAGATGAATACATCCAGCTCTGGCCGGTTTGGCTCAGTGGTTAGAGCGTCGGCCCGCAGACCAGTGAGTTGCAGGTTCAGTTCCGGTCAAGGGCACGCACCTCAGTTGTGGTTCGTCCCTGGCCCTGGTCTAGGTCATAGGGGAGGCAATCAGTTGATGTGTCCCTCTCACGTCAACATTTCTCTCTCTCTCTCCCTCCCTCCTTCTCACTCTATCTGAAGATAAATAGAAAAATATCCTTGGGTGAGGATTAAAAAAATTTTTTTTTAATTTTATTTATTTATTTTATCCTCACCTGGGGACATTTGTTTGTATTTATCTTCAGAGAGAGCAGGAGGGAGGCGGGGGAAGAGAGAGAAACATGGACGCGAGAGAGAGACATTGACTGGTCGCCACCCACACAACCCCGACCAGGGCCGGGGACAAACTGCAACCGAGGCACATGCCCTTAATGGGAACCGAACCCTGGACTCTGGTCCGTGGGCCCATGCTCTAACCGCTGAGCCACACCGGCTAGGGCAAAATCGAATTTTTTAAATGCTGTGTTTCTCTTCATATTTTATATGGAAATCTGAGCTCTGGATTACACGGAATGAGAACCGTTTCCGTGACCTGACGCTGTCGCAGGGGTGAGCTGGGTAAGGTGCACCTGGTTCGGGAGCCGAGGAGAAGGAAAGACCAGCAGTGCAGAGGGCGCGAAAGGAAGCTACACGGGACCACACCTGCAGGCCCTGGCACTGGTGCATGCGTCCGCCCCTGCCCCCAAAGCCATTAACTGCAGCCATGGGGCCGGGACCGCACTGGGGACTTCCCATGACGGGAGTTCCCCCGCCCAGCCTGGTCACTGATGGTGGCGGCACACGGGGAACACTTATGAGCCTCCAGTCCGACCGGCTGTCTGTCCCCCACCACGTGTCACGCTCTGGGCCAATGCCTGGTCTGCCGGCCACCCAGGTTCAGGGGACGGGAAGAACCGCCTGGAAGGTGGCCCTCTGCCCTCACGCAGCCAGGGGCTGGCGGTGGAACAGTCTCCGCGACACTGTGGGGCACCTTCAGGAGCCAGATCTGCAGCGAAGCCTGCACATGTCCGTTTCAGTGAGCTCACGTGGCTGCCACAGACGCACAGACGGCGCTTTGGGGGACACTCTCACCCAGAGCAGAAATAATGAACCTCTTGAGAGCGGGCATCTGAAGGTGTTCAGTGATCAGGTGAGGAGAGGGGACCTGCTACCTGGTGAAGTGTCCAGTGAACGGGCAGAAAAGTCAGCTCAGGCCTTCCTGAGGCCTAGAGTTGGAGCACAGGCAGACCTCCCTTTACTGTGATTTGCTTACTACACGTCACAGACATTGTGGTTTTTACAAATCCAAGTCCGACTCCCTTCATGTGGGGTCTGGAACCCGACCCCAGCATCTCTACGGTCTGCATGCAGCACAGACGCACCCGCTGCCTCTTACCCCCCAACCTGCAGTGCTGCGGGAGGAGGAGCAGAGGCCGTGCGCCCTGGGCGGGCCTCCCACACTCACCGCTGATGGGGTTGGTGCAGCCGGCACACTTCTTGGCGTACAGGTCGCAGAAGCAGCTCAGGCAGTAGGCAGACTCGTCTCGGGACGTGAAGCGCTGCCCGGACAGCGGCTTCCTGCAGGCCGTGCACACAAAGCACTCCTTGTGCCAGGGCTGATCCCGGTAGGTGACGCCCCCGGTGGTGATGGGCTGGAGGGCAAGAGGGCAAGGCTCAGTCCCCGAGGCACAGTGGCCTGTCTTACATCCTTCCTCCGGGAAACACCCAGTTCTGGTTGGACGTCACTGAGAAACTGCTGCGCAGACTTCACAGTCCACTGAGGCAGACGCTGGCTTCTGTGCCAGCGACGCAGGTACTAGGACGCCCGCCTCGTCCCCCAGAGGGATGCTGGGCTTGAAGAAGGTGAGGGTGTTCCCACTGCTCCCTCGCTGGGCAGGGGGTGTTGCCCAGGGGGTAAAGCCGGAGCCTGAATCAAAGAGGCAGATCTGAAGCCTCCCCCTTCTCCCGACGCCCTCGGCCTGTGGGCTGGTTGTCTGCAAAGACCCCTGCACACTGTCTGGTCCTTACTGGTGGAAGACAGTGGAGACACCTGGGGACTGGTCCTGCTGGTGTTGTGGGGAAGGAAGGCTGGGAAATAAGCCCAGAGCCTCCCGCTCATCTTGTCTTTCAATTCTACAACTTTTGCGAGGAGCCAGATATACCAGAACTGGCCATTAATACCCCAACTTGATCTACTATTTTCCTTTTTCTGTTGGTGCTTTTTGTATTCACTTAATACGTGGTCGAAGGACAAAACTGACGAGGTATGGGGAGGGGGCGTGTTGGCTCGGCAGAGCGATGGAGGAAGGGGCAGGGGAAACGCCTCGGGCAGCACTTTGGCAGGGCCCCCAGCACCCCCAGTCCTGACACAGAGAGCTCTCTCCACTCTGCAGATAAGTAAGCTGAGACCCAGAGAGTGAGGCGACTTGCCTGGTAATTCACAGCTAGTCAGTGACTAAGAACCAGAGCCCGGGACTTCCTTCCACCCTCTCATCTTTCCATGAGCATGTGAACCATTACACCTGCCCTGTAAGTGCTCCTCTGAGGAACAGCATTCACGCGACATGTGCTGGGCGGCAAGGCGTCCACGTGGCTACCGAAGGCATTTCTGTAAGAGGCGCCTTCATCCGGAACAGGCTCGCCCTGCCCCCTCCGGGCCCCATGTGCCCCACAGCACCCAGCGGGCTGCCGGCTCCACACAGGCTGCTTCCCAGAACGTTCCCTGAACCCCACCCGGCCCCACTGCTCGGGTCACTCCCGAGGACTGTTCCCAGTGTACTCTGCTGCGACTGCCTTTTTCAAAGCACAGCTGTCCAAGGTGCTCGATGCTGACATTAGAGGACACTTCCGCCCACACTGTCCGTCTTCTCCACCGTGGGCCCGAGTGCCCCGAGTGCCCAGCATGGTGGCAGGACAGCTGGTGCGTGGACGGTGAGCACACAGGACAGCTGGCGTGTGGACTGGTGAGCACACAGGCACACGCGTGTGGCCCAGGCAGCGTGCTCATCACACCCGAGCAGGACAGCACGTGGGGAAGAAGAGCCACTGAAGTGAACTTCCCTTGGGTCTCAATAAGAAAAACAGCAAGGGAGTGGACAGAGAAGAGGATTCCCAACATCAGCACAGCAGGGGACGCCCCCAGGGACGCAGGGATGCAGTCCACGAGCCATACTCATGAGGGAAATGGGGAGAAACAGAATTCAAATAGTAAAGAAAAACGGAAAGGAGAGAGGCTGAAGAAAATCAGTCATGCTCTGCCCTGGCACGCAGGCCGGCGGGCATTCCAGCCCAGGCGGGGCATGGTGAGCGCGCGGGCAGTGACCGGGCAGGAGCCGGCGGTCTGCAGTGAGCCCCACGTCCTAGCAGCGGGCAGGCAGACAGACAGACGTCGGGGTGATGGCAGCGGGAGGGAGACAGCTCCCCGCAGGGGCAGGGTTCCTTTTCTGTAACTGAAGGGAGCCCCACAGACACAGCCCGGCCCACCGGTGAGTGGGGTTAAGGATCGGCCCCACGCAGGCGGCCTTCCCGGCACTGTCCCCGTCCCTCCGCCTCACTGAGCTCAGCGGCTGGCTCCTGGTTTGTGGTTTCTTCAAGGAGACAGTGTAACAGACAGCTTTGGGACAGTCTGTTCTCCTTCCCTTTAAATTGTCGTAAATAAACGAGTATTTGGGAAAACCCCAGAAGGAAGGAATAAAGGATTTTTATCTCAGAACACGGCAGCGCTCGTGTCTGAAGACTAGACACAGGTCCAAGGGGCCAGTGCAGGACGCACACCGGGACGACGGGCGTGCGGTGAGGAGGCCTAGCCCCGGCCGCCGGGGTCCCCGCGTCTCTCGCGGAGGCGGCCGCGGCGAGTGCCAGGTCCCGGCAGGACGCGTACCTTTTTGCACTGGACACACTGCAGGGCGTGCTCCTTCTCGTAGCAGGGCACACAGAAGTTCTGCTCGTCCTTGGGGATGAAGCTCTTGGTGCCAATGGGCTGCTGACAGCGGTGGCAGATGAAGCAGGTCTCGTGCCAGCTGCTGCCCTTGTACTCCATCTTGCGGGTACCTGCGTGACAGTGGAGGACAGGGCGCGGTGACATGACTGGCTGGGGTCCCGGCCGTCTGCACGGAACCGCCACATCGAGTCCGGTGACACAGCCAGTCACTTCAGCTGGGAACAGGCCACGCTGTAGAGAGGAGGTCCCTTGTCACACACCCAGCTCAACACATCTGTATGAACACGCTCAACACAGTGCGCACGTGACATGAAAAAATACTCTTGTCCCTGTCAGCAGGGCAAAATAGAGAGAAAGCTGGCAGAGCGCAGACGAGTGCTCACAGAACGTGAATTCTGGAGCAGAGGGACCCCCTGCTCCTCAGCGGATGGACGCGGCTGGGGGGAGGGAACCTGGGGTCTCCAGCCCACCACAAGGAGCCTCTGCCTCACTCACTCGGACCCGCGCAGCCCGCTGGGACGGACCTCCGTGCCCGCGCACTGCGTGGGCTGCCGTGGAAACCACCTGAGCCTCACAGCCTGTGTAGCCGGCCTGCCCCCGTCCTGTGCACTTCCTCTCCTGAGTAACTACTATCACGGGACATGTTCACATAACTCGGCCAAGTAGATTAAGAAGACAGAGAACAGAAATGCCTTTGGGATCACCCCCACCCCACCCCCATGCCTGATCCACAGCAAATGCTCAATACTTGTTGACCAATGTTTTCCCCATACTTTACCAAAAACGTGTGTATACTTACTGAAAGACACGGTTCAAGACATACGTATGTGAGCACCTTTGGGATGACGCCGAAGTAAAGGATTTGGGAAAAGGCAGCACAGTGAACACAGGAAGGACAGGCGCAGGCGCCAGCTCACTGCACGCAGCCCGAGGCCACCGCAGAGGCTGCCTGTTGGATACCCAGGCTGGGCTGGAACCCTGCCACCACACACTCACGCCACCATGCAGAGCTGAGCAGCCTGGCCGACTGCAGGGCTTGCAAAGCCCAAAATACTCATCTGGTTCTCTGGAAAAATTCAGCCAGTCCCTGGGTTCACGTGAAGGATGCTACTATGGAATGACTTAGCAACCGGGGATCCAGGAACAAGGGGGCATTAGGCCGAAGGCAGGACTGGGCGGCAGCACAATGCAGGCATCTGAAATGTTTAAGTCAAAAGGTAATACAGCCCTGGCCGGTTTGGTTCAGCGGTTAGAGCGTCGGCCTGCGGTCCGGAGGGACCCGGGTTCGGTTCCCGCTAAGGGCACGTACTTCGGTTGCGGTTTGTCCCCGGCCCTGGTTGGTCGTGTGGGTGGCAGCCACTCGATGTGAAGGACACATCGATGTTTCTCTCTCTCTCTCTCCCTTCCTCTCTCTCCCTCCCACTCTATTAAAAAAAAAAAAAAAAAAAAAAAAAGGTAATACAGCCCTGGCCGGTTGCTCAGTGGTTAGAGCGTCACCCAGGCACTGAAGGTCACGGGTAATCTGATTCCCTGTCAAGGGCAGGTACCAGGTCTGCAGGTTCCATCCCCAGTGGTGCGTGTGGGAGGCAACCAATGGATGTGTCTCTCGCACATCAATGTTTCTCTCTCTCTCTTTCTCTCCCTCCCTCCCTTCCACTCTGTCTAAAAATCAATGGAAAAATATCCTTGGGTGAGGATTAGCAAATAAAATAATGATAATAATAATGATGATGATGATGCAAGGCTAAGGGCTGTACTTTAGCTGGTTGGAAAGGTGGTGAATAATCAGAACCAGCACTGACAACCATCACATGGTCATTTCATCCGATGTCATTTTTGGGTAACGGTCTTCTCTGTACTTTCAAGATCAGACATTTAGGCACCACCTCCCATAGTCAGGGAATTCTTGGGGGGCACACAGTGATCTTCAAAGCCTACGGGATGTTGAATCCTGAAACAAGGAAAATTATACTAAGCAGTTTTATTTCAGGTAAGAAAAAAAAGGTGGATTTTATTTTATTATTTTTCTCAAAGAATAAGGAAAAGTCTACTTAGAAAATCAGAGGTAGCTAGCCCTGGCCAGTTTGGCTCAGCAGTTAGAGCATAGGCCTGCGGATTGGAGAGTCCCAGGTTCGGTTCCCGCTAAGGGCACGTACCTCGGTTGCAGTTTGTCCCGGCCCGGGTTGGGGTTGTGTGGGTGGCAGCCAGTTGATGTGTCTCTCTCACATCGATGTTTCTCTCTCTTCCTCCCTCTCTCCCTCCCGCTCTATCTGAAGATAAATGCAAAAAATGTCCTCTGGTGAGGATAAAAAGAAAGTCACAGAGGTAGACGTGAGCCCCAGGAGAACTGGCTCAGGAAACCGGTTACAGAGGCTGCAGAAGGGCCCTGGAGCCTGGGAAGAAGCAAGGCTTTGCTGCCTGGGAGGGAGGAGGGCGTGGGAGGGCACAGGCTGCTCCACAGAGAGCTGCCGTGGGGAAGGGCTTCAATGTAAATCCCAGAAAGATCTCCTTTGGCCTCGGGGTTATTCCCCACGCACCCCTTCCTCACTCACTCTTCCACCTCGGACCTCTGGTCAAGCAGCCAGGGGTGTGGTCAGGGAATACGGAGAGCCCAAACAAGACCCCGTAGCCTCCTTGGGGTCTTCTGAACTAAGTCTTACCTCAACACCGGTGCTCGGGGAACTGCCTGTCTCTTGCAGGGAACCACTGGGCACTCCCAGCCCAAGGCCGGAGTGGGTGGGGGTGGGGGGTGCGCACATCTGAGAGGCGCCATTTACACAGACCTGCAAGAGTACTGCACAAACATTGCCAGCAGGTGGCAGCAAAGTCCCTTCTAACACAACCTGCATGTTAGACCAATTCTCCAGATGGAAGGTGTCTTTCTGATTCAAACAAGCAAGCATGGTGAAGGGTTAGGGGCCCGTGAGCCAGCTCCCAGGCTGTGGTGCTTCTGCAAGAAACCTCTGCAAACGGACGCAGCATTTCGCGGATGAGAGCTGGGAACTGCACTGTGGCGTCTCACACGAGCCTGGCTCCCTGACCGTGTCCAGAAATGAGACTTCAGGTCTGGGCCCGGGGGTGACTTTCATTTAGAACATGCCTCTTGTCCTGTCTGTCTAAATTCAAATGTACACTGATGCTCTGGACTGCTTCTCATCTTGATTTGGTTGTAGCACTTTTAAAAATCAAACCAAAGCAAGGAAGCAAGGGCTGTGGCGACCGGGTGCCTGCCTTCCTCCTCCTCCTCGTTTTTGCACACGCCAGGCCCTTTCCACACCCTGTCTGTGGGCCCAGTCTGTCCACAGTGCCTCTCCTGACTTCTTCCCTCGGTGAAATCCAGTTCATCCTTCAAGACTGCTCAATTGTGATGTCCCGAGAGCCCCTTTCTTGACCCTGCACCTGGCCCCCACACAGCAGGCTCAGGCGGACTTCTCCCTAAAACCCTAATGACAGCACGGTGAGGCGCAGTCACTGAGGGTGGCGACGGGGCCTCTTCGAGAGCACCCCCCTTCTTAAGCCAACCAGAATCATGGAAAGTCTTGGAAATCTCAAAAACTTCAGAAAAATTTCACAGCCCATTCTAAGATACACTTATGTTTGTCTTCATTTAAATACCAGTTGTTCAATGTTTTACTTCCTGATCTCAGAATTACGCCGTTGCTCTGGGAAGTTGTCGCTTTTCCCCGTAGACCTGGTCCAGTCCCATCAGAGCAGCAACAGCTGGACATCCTGTGGTCCGCAGGCCAGTCCCCAAGGACAGACTCCTGCAGGGCAGGGCCTAAGTCTTGCTCACAGTTCTTCACACGGACAGCACCTTGGTCACTCACATCCAAGCCTAAGTCCATCGCCTGGACGCCCGTCGACGGCAGCCCGGTGTCCTCCGCCCCCCTCGTCCACGCTGTCCCTGGAGCGGTCCTCCCGTGGTGACAGCGCCTGGAGTCAGGCCCTGGGCTGGGTGCGCCCACTGGGCACAAAGCAGACATCAGTGGGCTGTGGAGCTGGAGCTAATGTTCAGCCGCATTGTTTTCTGAACCCCAGACACAGCGAGTGAGGTGTCCTCATGGTGGGGAACACCAGCAACGGGACACTCAAGCCTCTCCCTGCCTGCACCCTTCAGGGAACTGTGTTCCACCCTCACCGCTGTCCCACCACAGGGAGCCCTCGTCCCGCCAGGAGCTCACTATGCCCTCGGCCTCTTGGCTGCAGTGTTGGCATCTGTGACATGAGGGTGAAGCTGTCAGCTGCAGGGCCGTGTGCAGGGCGGGCGGGATCCGCACGCATTGGGGGGCCGTGTGCAGGGCGGGCGGGATCCGCACGCATTGGGGGGCCGTGTGCAGGGCGGGCGGGATCCGCACGCGGTGGGGGGCCGTGTGCAGGGCGGGCGGGATCCGCACGCGGTGGGGGGCCGTGCCCCGTGTCTGCTCCGGCAGCAGTAGCTGTGCCTGTGATAACCACACAGCGTTTCTCACCGAGGAGCCTGAAACCGGGAAGGCTGTGCCCCAGCTTCCCCTTTCCTTCACAGAAGAGATTCCGGACCAGTTAATGTTCGAGTTTATTTGTTATCTGATCGTGAGTTTTTTCTCTCCCCAGTAAACACCCTGAGAAATGGAAGGTGTTGATGGTTAATTTCACGTGTCAACGAGTCCGGGGTGTGATGCCCAGCTGTTTGACTGTATGCCAGTCTGCTGTTGCTGTGAAGGTACTTTACAGATGTGATTAGCTCTTTATCAGTAGACTCTGAATAAAGCAGATGACTCTCCTCATGTGGGTGGGCCTCATCTAATCAGTTGAAGGCCTTAGGGGCAAAACTGAGGTTCCCCAAGTAGAAGGAATTCTCATGGTGCAAAGGCAAAGCCCTGCCTGAATGGCCAGCCGCTGCTCTGAGAGCCAGACTCAAGGCTGAACATCACCCTGCGCCGAGTCTCCAGGCTGCATGCCGGCCCTGGGGCGTCGGACTTGCCGGCCCCCAGCAGCTGAGCCCGTTCCTTCCTATAAATCTCTGTTTCTCTAGAGGGAAATTCAAACACCCAGGAGGCATGTCTGTTCACTGCAGACAAACTTCTGAGACCTGGGCCTTCTCCTCCCACCCTGTCAGAAAGGGATGGCGTCT